TCGTGTCGAGTGAGTGAGTGTGTGTGTGTGCTCTCACTCTCTCCCTCTCTCTCTCCTCTCCCTCGGCTCACCCTCAGCCTCACTCCCGTTACATCTGAGGCCAAGCGCCACTCAGAGGATGAAGAAGAAGACCAGCGCCACAGTATCTGCTGATGACGAAGTGTCGGAAGACTTCCCGGGTGGAAGTCTGCAGCAGCGCCACCAAATCCTGACAAGATGACCTCTGAGGAGGAAGCTGCAGCTATGGCTGCAGCGCCACAACCCTGTGACCCCACTCCGGAGGAGGGTCCAGCAGGGCACCAACTTCTCTCGCATCCAGCAGACCTCAATAACCCAGACCTCTGTTCAGCCCCGTGTGCTGACAGAGTACAGCACAGGTCCCAGCTATGGCCGGCGCTCGGAAGGTCTGGCTATGTCTGTCTCCCACAACGCTGAGCCGTCACCACTTCCGGTTCACGCGTAGTGCAGCAGCGATGTACTCGGTACCAACTGCCAAAAGCCCTGAACCAATGTGCCCAACCTATCTATAGTCTACTCTAGCCTAGACTCGACCTAGACCGGACTGACTGACTGACCGACCAGTACCGTTTCTGTTTCGGCCTCTAGGGCCTCTCCCAACCCAGCTATAGGCTATAGGACCGTCTATCAGGTAGCCCGGGTTTGCTATTCACAGTTAGGATAGCTATAGGAAATTCAGTTAGTACGGGCCTGTATTTTCCCGTATTTACAGATATGTCCCTCACGAATTTTCCTTACAGGCAGGTCACTCGGTTAGCCCTCAGCCAAACAAAATGACGAATCTGTCCTACCTATGGTACGGCCTCGACAGAGAGAGGCAACAGGCTACCAGAAACAGCAAGTCATTGCACTACGAAGTGGTGCGGCTATGGCAATGGTTGCTTGACAACATTCCCAGCCCAAGCTAGATGCTACTTGAAGACTATTGGATTGAGATAAGGGAGATTGAGATAAAGACTGAAGGCTATAGCATGTATGCTTATCTGACCTGATTCTTTTGGAGCATTATATCTTGCCTGCCATTTGTTATCACTGATCAATGAAGATTTTTTGACTTTATTACCTGTGGACCCTTTGCATGCTCTCCCGGTTTCCACTCCATTCCATCGTCGTGGACATGCAAACTAAGTTGTGTGATTGGCTGCCGCCTTGTGAGCAGGTATCTAATTATGCTCAAGGATGACGTGAAGGATACAAACGTGATGGAATTATGTACCGATGGCGGAGACCTCTCAGGACACTGCCTAAGGATGTAGGTTCCAATGCAACTCTGTTTGTCAGAAGTTTGAGCTTTTCATGGTTTCTGCTGTCATGACAAGCACCTCAACCCAACTGCAGGGTGTCAGTGTGTTACCTTCGTCATTCTTGGTTGGCAGAAAGTTCTCCACAGAATGGTGGTCATATTGGAGAATGATCGTCACCTTTCCAGACTGTACTTGAGTTGAGGAAAGTCTTGAGCCGCTCTGGACTGTCAAGCTGGAGGCGCATTGGAAGTCAAATGTCTTTCTTCTCTTTTTCCCTTTTTCCCCCTTATGGACATGAGCTGCAATTGATGTGAACAAAAAGTTTTAACAAAAAGTTTTGACAAGGACTTTGGCAGAGTTACGCACCACATAGCCTGATGCATGCCTGGTATAGACCAGAAGCAATGCAAAGCCCAAAGATCACGAATATGGGGAAGAGATAGGAAGACTCAAATAGGACTGACCTGACAATGCAGCAAAATGACAATGTGATTCAGATCCAATCTCACACGAGCAAGGGAGGGGTCCAAACACTGACAAACAGGGGAAATGCAAGGTGGGAGAGGAGGAAGGATGATGTGGAAGAAGAAGAAGAAGAACCGACATATGACAGCGCCAAGTAATGATAATCTCCCCTCCGTGTCAATCCCCTCTCCTCCAGCATGTCTCCAAAGAATCTGTCTTAGAACTCCAGTGTGGGAGCCTGGCTTCCAATATAACAATGTCATCTCTCTCTCTCTCTCTCTCTCTCTCTCTCTCTCTCTCTCTCTCTCTCTCTCTCTCTCTCTCTCTCTCTCTCTCTCTCTCTCTCTC